TCTGTGAGTCTCTGGTGGAGGGGGGTGGGACAGGCATGGGCACCTTCCTTTCCTCCCTCTCTCCCTCCCATTGTCCCTTCCTTCCTTCCCTCCCTCTTTGTCCCTTCCTCCTTCCCTCCCTCCCTTCCATTGTCCCTCCCTTCCTTCCTCCTCTCTTTGTCCCTTCCTTCCCTCCCTCCCTCCCTCCCATTGTCCAGCGCTACACCGCCCAGACCCCAGCCTGGTTTTGGCAGGCAGCGGCGCATTCTCACCACACGGAGCGGCCGGGTGAAGTGAACTGGCGAAAGTGACGGCCCTGCCTGTGCACGCACAGAGGCAGAGGAAAGTGCCACCTTTAGGGCATGACAATATTCGAGTAACACCAGTGGCTTAGCAAGGTGTCAAAAACTTAATGACCAAAAAACCCCACACTTTTAATGGGAAACTTGTGCCTGCTTCTCTGCCATTAATCTTTGCAGTCGTGGCTGGAGAGTGCTGACTGACAAAATTAAGTCAGATTCCAGCTGAAGGCAATTCCTTTCCTTAGTTTTTATACATGCTGACGAAGAAAATGCCTTCTCACACAAGTATGTGGAACCAAATGGCAGTAAAGCTGTGATAGCCTTTCCCCCCCACTTCCGGGTATAGTTTTGCAGTCAGTGTTTTTTCATTAAACAGTACTTTCAAATGGCGGTTTGATGTTAATTCCAGCAGTGCCTCTTGCTCTGGAGAGGAAAGGTCAGAGTTCACAACATTGTCCATGATGAAGGGTGATGCAACCCAGCAAATTCCAGTATCGCATCCCCTTGACACGAATGGAAAATACAACGCAAACTCTGTGTGCAATTTTTCCAGATGATTTTTTGATGGCAGTTTCAATCCCCTCAGTGTCAACAATAGAATTTAGTTCAATAAAGTCTGACACATTGGGAAATGAGGCAATATTTCTTTTTTTTACTTGTCCTATCCACAGGGAGATTTTTTTGTGGAAGGCACAAACTTTGTCTTCCATAACAAACACGTTATGACCGTGGCCCTGCAGCGACCAATTAAGTTCATTTAGCTTTTTAAATATGTCAGCCAAATAAGCAAGGCAGGACACCCAGAAGATATTTTCAAACTTTTCTGCTAGGGGTGATGAAACATTCCTTAGGAACAGGTGTGTTTCATCTCATAATTCGAATAATCTTGATAATGTTTCACCTCTTGACAACCAACATACTTCTGTATGAAAGAGAAGAGTGCTGTGCTTAGAATCCAAATCCTTGCATAATTGCCAGAATAAACGTCCATTCAATGGACGGCTTTTGATGAAATTTATTATTTTTGCAGCATCCGCCACAGTCTCATGTAACACTGGGCTCATCCGTTTAGAAGCAAGTGCATGTCTATGCAAGATGCAATGATTTGAAACAATGGAGCTGTTTCTTGCCTTAGCTCATGCTATCATGCCCGAAGCTCTTCCTGTAATAGCTGCTGCACCATCAGAACAAATTCCTACACACCAAGTCCATAATATTCCATATTCGCTGAAAAAATGTCGATTATTGTGAATATTTCTTCCCCAGTCGTTCTGCCAGGTAGTGGGCGGCAAAATAATATGTGTTCCAGTATATCGTCCGAATCAGGAACACACACAAAGACAATTAATTGCGCTTCACCAGCGATGTCAGTGCTTTCATCCAATTGAAATGCAAATTTTTCTGCTGCTGTGATCTTTTCCACCACTTGTTGAATAACATCTGTGGCCATATCTTGTATTCATCTTTGGACAGTGTTGTCAGAACATGGAATATTACGAATAGCATCAGTCATTTTTCCATCAAAGAGAATTGAGGAAATTGCAATGGCAGAGGGAACCACGACTTCTTCAGTGATTGTGTGAGGCTTATTTCATTTAGCTGCTATCAAGGACAATTCATAAGATGCTTCCAGACAT